TCTTCTTTTTACTCAGACAAGAGTACACTGATTCCAAATCTCCGCGGAAATGCGTAAGAGGTATGCATAAGTAAAAAGGTCCTGCTACCAAATGTGGTCATAAGGAAGAGTGAATATACCAATGATCAGACGCCTTGGGAATACTGGGTACGATATGAGCTTTCACTAATTTTCAAATAGATTTCTGTACAGAGACTTTAGAACACTTCACATCTCCGCACCTATAAAAAAAGCCGAGAGTCAAACACTGCTACCAGCACAGCTGTTTCAGACGACTCACAAGTTTGCCCATATTAAGAGCGAATTAGGTACCAATGACCGCGTTCTTCTTCGCATGGAAAAATGTTCTCAGTTATTTTGCTAACCTTCACCAACCGTTTAAGAAACGTAAACTGCCGAAATGTAATTCTCATAAAAAATTAAAACTAGGCACCCTCTGTCTTATAAGAAAAGAGTTAGTCAGCGGACGTTTTACCAGCAACTCCTTTGCAAGGTCTCAATGTGCGCTATTATTGTCTCATTTTGAGTTGATATTGGTCTCCGGACTGCTGGAAGAAGGATTCATGGGTGTGAATTAGAAGAAAGGACGATTTATAGCGTGTATTATATGCAGACACCGACTCGTACTGTCCAAAATCTAGACCAATCGATGATTGACAAAGCGACGTTACAAAGTGTAGCACATATACTCAACAAGATAAAATATGTGGAATGCAGGGTACGGGAATTTAACGGTGCTAGTCAAGCATATTTTCCGGGGACAATGCGATATTTGAAACATTAAGAGTGAAGAGTGGTTGTGACTATGACTTCCACACAAAAGGGTTGTTGGATAAGAAAGAAGACTTGTCGAGCACCGGATCATTTGCTTTGTTGTCTTCAGCTTTCGAACTCTTACAGGACCGTGGAGACAAGGCATTGGGGAGAAGACGACTCGATCGGCGGAACAAACCTCTTATTCGCCTGACGTTTTGAGATTCGTCGCAGATTCATCATCAGTGACATAAGCAGACAACAGTAGCGGACACGGGTATTACACTAATTATACGGCATTACACTGCTTACTGTTTCTGACTCCAAACGACCGCCGACTTCACTGACTGTTAAGTAGCGTATACCACTATAATTTCCCCCCACCCCCATCCTTTTTAGTTGATGTTTCTTACCCCTTGATGACCCGAGGACAGTTAACAGCTGATTGGCCACTTTAATTACTCTCCTTCTGGTTGCTGCTTCTTATCTCTGAAGACAGACTCCTGTAAGAATTCGAAAGCTCGATACAATAAACCAATTGATCCGGTGCTCGACTGATCTTGCTTCTCCATGCAAACACCTGGAACACGAAATTTTAATTCATTCAAGAGGGTTTTTACTTCTATTGTCACGAGGGACCCAGTATTCCAATAAATACGTGTTATTTCTCAATGGCTCTATGACAAAAATATTTGTAATAGCAGGTAGATTCCAGAGAATATTTTTGAAATAGTATAGTCAAGAGAATAACATGGGTAAACTTACTCAACCACCAAAGCAATCGGCCAGATGTATTTTAGAGAAATTGGTGGGCACACCCCGGATGTAGGTTTCTCTTCTCTGACCCTAACAGTGTCCTCGTCGGTTAAAGCGACGCAATCGGGCACTCGTCACAGTGAGAGCTACAAACTACGCCTCCCCCTTCTTGCTGAAAAATCAATCGATCTGAAGTCCAGCTATGCTTGACCAACAGGCGCGAAGCACTCATGCACTGGAATAACTTTTAATCGTTTTTGCTATAGGCGTCACCCTGCAACGCTGACGCTGTC